AAAAAGAAGAATATTCTCGAACTTAATAAATCTACTTTAGTGCAGAAAGGTTATGGCATAACCCTGTGAGTTATCTTTTATATGAGTGGAGCGGTGGGGCTTAGATTTAACAATAATCACAAGGTAAACAGGAGCTGTGTGCCGTGCAGCCACACTGTTGACTTTACACTGTTAACCTGTGCCTGTCTGAGGGGAACACTGGGCAAGCACGAGATCTCTTCTTCTTTCATGCAGCGTAAATGTTGACAGGGGTTAGAGCGCTAAACTCTGCTATCACACATCATCTCTTGCCTGCGATCGTATGAGAAACTCCCCAGTCATGGTGAGAAGCGAGGTGTGTGAGTAGGGCATATCATGAAGGCTTTCACTGGGGATGTACTTGAATATGTGCATAGTCATACATCACTTCCATTGGAAGGGTCTTGGGCTTGGGAGCAATACAGTAAGACATGAATTGAGATGGAAATGAAAGAGTTTGAGAGAATGAAAGAGTTATAGACAGAAGGTGACTGGTTGCTGATTCCTACCCTGCACTCTCTATTTGTCGCTGAGGGCAGCCGTGTGGAAAAACCCATCATCTGGGCCAGTAGATCTGGAAATAGAGTCCTCGGCAGGGTCGGCCCAGCTCAGTGCCCTCTTACCCTCGACTCACTACACTAGGCATGCCAGGGCAATGATCTCCCTCCAGAGGGAGTCGTGTGTATCTGATAGCTATTTTCTCTCTTTCTTCTTAAAACAACATTTCCACCTCCAGGCCTCCAAGATGCACTTCAAATTTTAATGCCTCTTATGCAATGCTATGTTTTGGCCTAAAATATTGGAAGTTCTGTAATGGCTGTATTTAGATTAGACTCAATTTCAAAAGTTATGTCAGTATTTACACTGGGAAAGTTCCATGTATTCAGAGTCAGGTTAAGTTGATATTCTGGGCTCTCCATTTCAGATTATTAAAATTACCTGCATGTAGTTAATTTCTGCAAGGTTGCCAGTTGACAGAGGAGTACTAAATGGGGTTTTCATCTATACCACTGCCATTAAACACAAGCAATTAGAATGTGGCGTGCACATTTGGCATGCGCACCTAAGCGATTTTACACTTAAGTGCTTAGGTGTCTATGGGATAGCATTAGGAAAAAACGTCTGGAGAACTGGTGCACCCAAAACTGGATCTTGCACCACGACAATGCGAGTGCACACACTGCATTTTCAACCAAGGAGTTTTTAACCAGAAACAAGGAGTTTTAAAGAGAAACAATGAGTTTTTAACCAGAAACAATGTGGTTAATGCTTCGGATCCACCGTATTTGCCAGATCTCGCTCCTTGTGACTTCTTTTTGTTCCTGAAATAAAAAATGAGAATGAAGGGGAACAGTGGAAGAAATCCAGAAAAAAAAAACACAGAAGGCTCTAGATATGATGACGAAAGATAATAAGACTACAGGAAATTTTCCAGGAATGGGAGAAAGCGAGGACAAGTGTATCACATCTCAAGGAGAGTACTTTGAAAGGGATTAAAGGAGAAATACTTTAATTAAGTTTTATAACACTAGTTTTTGTTAACAATTCTGGGAATTTTTGAGTCCTCCCTCATAAGTTATTTTAGGTTCATTTGCTATTTTCAATTGTCAAATTAATAAAATAATGCTAATGTTTTGATTCATTCAATGCTGTAAAGAAAATGTGAACATAGTTTGAAGGACAAAATGACCAAGCACTAACCTGCTACAATTTAAGGTATTTCATAACATCATCCATAAAACAAATTCGACCCTAAAGATTAGCAGTGTCTCAGATTGTGATGGTGTGTCCTCCTATGATCATGTCTCCTCTTATGTCCTCTATGTCTATGCATAAACTTTGCAGGGATAATGGACTTAAGGTCAGAATCATGCTTGACTGAGTAGATTCACCTGAGGTCTGAATATCGATGTGCACTTTTTGTAGCTATTAATTCTTCACTAGGTGTGTATAACTCCTATGGAAGCCCATTTCAGCCAAAAAAATAAGGATAGCAAGTCAAAATTATGAGAAAAATCATAAGTTCAAGTATCTTATAATTTTGAAATACTGAACCATAATTATGAGATAAAAAAAATAATCATGCTATTACAAGCCACACTTTTGAGATACTATAACAAGTTATATTTTCAAGACACTGAGTTATAATTTTAAGATACTGTTAGAAATGTCAGAAGGCATATGTGTACACTGGCTAGCCTACTCCAAGACAGCATGGTTCTAATGTAAGACAGTATCTTGAAATTATTATTTGTGATCACAAAATGATGACATTATCTCATAATTATGCCATTGTATCTTGACATTATGACTTTGTACCTCATAATTGTTAATTAATATCTCAAATATGCTTTAGTATTGTGATATTATGAATTAGTAGCTCATAATTATGATTTTGTATAAAATAACTCTGACAGTATTTCAAAACTATGACTTGGTATCTCATAATGATGACATGCTATCTCATAAGTATCACATAGTATCTCACATCTATCACTTAATCTTTCATAATTATGACTTAGCAACATGACGTTATGACTTAATGTTTTATAACTATGACTTAGCATCTTAAATTTATGACTTGCTACCTCATAATTGTAGTATCTCATAGTTATGACCTAGTATCTCATAATTTTGAGACAATACACAGGATGTTTTTTTTTTTTTTAAGTGCAGGAAAATGGGCTTTACTATGTCAACTCTGAATACAAACCGAAATGATTAGCTGGAGTGGAAGCTCAAGCCAGGACTCAATAAATGATTCTGATGCAGAACAGCACAGGCCACTGTATAAAATGTAATCCCCTGACAGATAATGTTGTAATTTAAAAGAATTAATGAAAAAGGAGCATAGGAGCCATTTGTGGTTCATGAAATACATATCATGGGTTGAAGGTGACCATGTGTTCATTATTTCTAATGAGGACGCAGTCAGTTACATCCCCTGAGACGCCAGCAATTAACTGGTCATGGTAAAGGTCAGACTGAAACTTGTTATGCAAATACATACAAATCAACAAAAATGTGTAAACTCTTAATGTTACCTTTACCTTTAATGCTACTTAACTCATCTTTTCATATGTTTTGGATACATTTTATGACAACTGGTGTTTAATGCTGTTGTAGGAAAATAATCAACAACATGGTGGTGTGATACAGCACAATATGAAGAAGAGTCAATGTTACCACCCTGACGTTTATTAGTTTCCTATAACCTGAAGTGTTTTATTTCCCCTATCCCACAGCAATTTTAACTTTTTTTTAAAGAATGACATATTGTACTTTTTATCCATTTATAGTTACGCATAGTGTTGAGGAATGTCCGTGAAATAAGATTCCTGTTCCTGTTATCATTTATGTTATAGCAACTATAAATATTCATTCCTTCACCAGCCTTTCTTTTTTCCTCTCTCTCTCTCTCTCTCTCGAAGTTAATAAGGCAAACAATGCAGCATATCATGTTGCCGAAAGACAAGAAAGCACAACGTTCCAGCTTTGTCTTTGACTGTTGCAAAGTTCTGGCACTGGAGACTCTTTCCATAAATGCGAAATAAACATCTCCTAACAGAAAATAGCAACAATTACATACATTTTTCATCTGTTTATGTGTTCTACCATATAAGTCCCTGCATTAACATATTAGTATAAGTGCCTAAATTTAAACCTGTGATTTGAATTAGAGGCAGAACTCCTGTCAGAACTGCTGTTCTAGAAAAAAGAATCAAGAATTTAACAGCACTGTGGTGGAAATGAATTTAAAATTCAGGTCTATTTTCAAACTAGTTGAAAATAGTAACAAGTGGCAAGTTGTCACATTGAAGCATGGGCTTATAAATGAGTCCTTATCTCTGATTGCAGTAGTTAGAGATAAGTTCATTTCACTCACAGGATGTTTGTAATCACGTTGCATTCAAGTGCAGCCTTGGTTGTAATTTTTAATAAGCATAAAAAGGGTTTGAGCTTTTAATAGAATAATAGAATGTTGTCTTCATTTCTAACGTATTTAAAACTGCTAACAAGTTTTGATTTCTGTCTCTCTCTCTCTCTCTCTCTCTCTCTCAATTTCTCACTCTGTGTGTGTGTGTGTGTATGCGTAGATGTGCGTGTGTGCATTTAGGTGGCAGGCCTCATTATACACTGTGTTATTTAAAGAATTCTTAAAATTCCACAAGTGTTCATATGCGATTTAATTAAATGTTTAATGCACAATCTTGTTTGAGACTTTTTTAGATTTCTTGAAACATCACGAACAAGACTGTATGAGATATAACTGCTGTTTTTCTAACTTTATTTGAACAAGTAAACTCTTTGAAAACTGAACAGCTGGAGATAGTCTAATCTTCAGTATTCACATTAAATCACCTGCCAATCATCAGTTCTCAAGCCACATTTATAATCATCTTCAATTTTCTTTCATAATGGATGGCCAGTCAACCACTGAAATGTATCATGGTGTCATAAACTACATGATGTTAAACATAGCAGTCATTTGAGATATGCATCTACACAACAAAGGCATGATTTCAAGGGTTCCACTTAGAACTGTCTCTCTTATATACTCTGTTGTAGAGTTATGCATAGAACATTTAAGGATTTCACTAGAAGGACAAGCCAAGGAACCCTTAATGTTGTAAACTAGACTGGACCAAACATGGTTTCTCAAAGACAAATCTAATCACATAACGTAATTCATATGGATATTTAGAAATCATCCCTTTTCGTATGACTTGGTACGGAAACACTTTAGACGCTATAGAGCTGACTGTCAACAATCCATCAGGTGACCAACAAAACCAGACAACTTTTTTTTTTCTCTTTTGGCTGCTCCCATTAGGGGTCACCACAGTGGATCACCCATCCACATATTTTGATTCTGGCACAAGTTTTATGCCGGATGCCCTTCCTGAAGCAACCCTTCACATTTTTCCGGCTTGGGACCAGAACTGAGAGTGCACATGCAACCCTCCAGTGGCTGGGGTTGGTTCCCAGACCGGGAATAGAACCTGGGCCGCAGTGGTAAGAACACTGCATGCTAGCCACTAGTCCATCAGGGAACCATCAACAATCAGACAACTAATTCCATAAAAATATGTTAACAGTTTATGGCTTCTGATGATGTTTAATAGATAAAGTTCACTTATTTTCCCCTGATTTCCTCCCTAAATTAGTCTTGGCCAATCCCACGCAGCAGTTAGGTATCTTCTATTATATGACAGGTACCAACCTGAGAGGGTGAAGGCTATTACGTGCGTCCTCTGAGACATGTGAAGTCAGCCAACCACATCTTTTTGATCTGCTGCTCATGTTGCATCACAGTGCTAATGACCCTCTTCCTCATACCTGAGATTACAAACACCCACGATTGGCTAGGGAAGAGAGTGTGCCATCTTTCTCTCATTCGGAGGATATCTCTCTGAGGATAGGGCGAACACTGTTCTGTTGTGCCACTCACTCTGTTGTGCCTATTAATGTTTAAAAATGAATGATTAGTTTATGCCTATAAATGAGATCCATCCTTTTAAAGTAGGTATGTATAGATTCATTTTTGACAAGCTTCAAAGACTCTGAACAAATTAGACAATTGTTTTGAACTTGAAGTGGAGAATAAATGCATACTTCTCTGTCCAGTCATCTTTAATCCTTACGATTTCATTACCATCCTTTTTTTTTTAAACAAGCCATGTCATCATGTCAGTAATGAGATCAGAGAGGGTAAATTTAATTTTACCCCCTGCATGTTTATGAAAAAAAGGATGAAGTAGCGAGTTGTCAAGAGCTGAACATTCCTTCCGTCCATCACTCTGCTGCTACAATAGCCTGAATCAGAGAGACATGCAGGTAATTACACAGGACCGGATCCCTGCATTCAATGGCCACTCTTAATCTATCATTGAGAGCTCCCCAAGAGCAAGAGAAGAGACTGAAAGGAGGAGAAACAAAAAACATACAGAAAGAGAAGTTAGACTGACACAAACAAACATGAATCTCAAGGTGTAGTTGCTTCCTATGCATTTATGTTTGAATGAATGAGATGGATAACACTGGGCTCTTTTGTGCTTTACACTTTATAACTCAGGGCTGTTTTATTACTTTTACCATGTAAACTGGCAGATTAAATAAGGCTTATTTAATTCACTGTTAATGTTATGCAAAGAGTCACTTATTCCATTAGATATTACAAGGCAAGTCTTGTACGATCATTAAGAGCACACTGTCCTTATGGTCTATTTTTCTCTCAGGAAAGACATCTCGTTAACATTATACTGACAGCAATTCATGTTCATATGTGCTTGGCTGTCTATATTAGAAAAAAGTACTTAATTAGCCTGTCTTTCATTTATTCAGACGATGATTAGGCTTAGAAAGATTAACCATAATTCTGGATTATAACACTTTGTCAGTTTTGTTTAAGTTGGTTCACTCATTTTCGTCGTCACACATGTATGTATGTGTCAAGGTTTTCTATGTCAAATCTGGTTACCATAGTAACAAACACCATGCACTCCTGTTTGTTTGGGTTTCTCTTTTCTCTGCCCTTGTTCTGTCATTGGTTTGCTGCTCAGCTGTGTTCACACAATTATGACTTATGACACAAAAATTTAATTTGTGGGCACTCCTTACTGAAGAATCCCATACATTTTATGTTACCTATTTTTCACAAGTGATTATGTGAGAAATATATGAAAAATGAAACCATATGCTCTACAATTGAAAAAAATATATAATTAAAATGAAAACAAGCGAAGTGTCTGAAGTGTCTAAAAGTATAGGAATATGTCTGACATTATTACAGAATGGAATGTCTTAGCAATTTCCCAAGATCTTGACAGCAAAACACATATTAAAGAAATGCTCTGGTGAAAATAATCAGTCTCATCAGTAGCAGGGTATTGCATCCTTGGCCTTTTATCAACAGCATATTCAAGAGAGAAAAAAGCAGGCAACACCCCACAGGAAGGCATAGCAAAGAGTAGCTGACATCAAGACCCTTAAGTTAGCTTTAGCCATGTTATAAATGGAAATCTTTTAAAGATGGATTTTGCTTAGAAAAGATGCACAGATAGAGTTCTTTAAACTAGTGCAGTGCAATTTCCAAATGTCAGCTATCTAAAAGAAATTCATAGACAGGTCTTCTCAACTGTGAAACAAACATAAGAAACACAACATCCCCTCACACACATTCTGTATTAGTTTTCTTATTAAGTCTTTACATTTGAGTTAGACTGTAGATAATTACTTCTCTGTCTGCAATAAAATATAATCTGACTTGCCAAGAATGCATACAGTATGTTGGGGCTGTTTAAAGTGCTTTCTACGGTGAAGGAGTTAAGGAGTTCAAATATGTGCTAGTCTGGGTGCAAGGGGTGAGCATTGATTTTATTCTGCTCCTTCCTCACTGAGCTCTGGAGCATGTTGGCCACATTTCTTGCTATGAGCTTTCCAATCACCCTGACAATAGGTCAAATCATCATTGGTTGCAAGCCTGAACCAGACTATTATTGAGGTGTTGAGAACAGTGGCTGTGTAGAACCGGCCCAGCAGCTCGTGAAGTAGGATGAACTTCCTCAGCTGTTGTAAGATGTTCATCCTCTGCTGGCCCTTTTTTTGGGAAATACAGTCATGTTGGCTTCCCACTTCATGTCCTGAGAGATGGTGGTTGCTGAGAAGTTAAATGTCTGCACAGCTATCAGGGTCTTGCTCAGAGTCTTGTTTAGATGGTCAGGTTTTCCCCAGCTTCACCTGCTCAGAAAACTGTTAGAGCTCCAGTTACAGCTAGAGGCAACTTCCCTGTTACAGCTAGAGGCAACTTCCCTGATCTGGGAAGTATGAACTGAAGCAGAACTGGAAGGTTTGTATTTAATGCTGAGATGAAGTCCATAAACATTACCCCAGCATAGCCCCAATCGGGACTACCCCCTGGTGCTAGAGAAGGTAATTATATCCCATATTGACCTGGTTGTCAACTAACCTATCCAGTCGATAGGTCTAGGAAATTGCAAGGGGGTAGGACCCTACTATAATCCACCAGGGGACTAGCCCCTGAGATGTCAAGCTGATGGAGAAAATATTGTACCCCCATATTAACTGTGTCATCAACTGAATTATATCACTGATCTGCAGAATGCAGGGGATCCAGCCAGGGCTCTGTAAAATCCTACAGATAGGCCAACATCAGTCTATTAAATGTCTTCATAACCATAGGGGTCAGGAAAACGAGTCTGTAGCTATTGACACTTGAGGTGCAGATGACAGGGATTACTGTTGGTAATCATAAGCCTGTGTTATTTTCTGTCTCTCCCTTTTAGTTTTGCCGTTATAGCTAGACCTGCCAGCCAGAGACACGCTTGCCATCTGATTACCCTGTACACTAGTTTAAAAAACTGTGGCTCCTCTCACCCTCCAAATTTGCCTGATTCATCCTGATTCATGCTTCTGCTTGGGGCTTCTGCACTTGTGACTCACAGCTGCTGCTGTGGATGGTTTCATATGGATACTCAACTTTTGCACTTTCCAAAAAGAGTTTATGTCCACACCTCAGCCTTGCTTCTGTGGATAATCTCACATGGACAGTGTCGACTGGAACCTAATTACTGCTACTGTATTCATAAAGACTGTCTTGTGCTCATCCCAGGGCTCTTATTCACAGACTGGTCATCCCAAACATCCTTTCAACACACTTTTTTTTTCACAATGTTTGACTTTTCTTTGCCTGTGTACTGTAAAGATTTAGAATCTCACCATCAGGTGCTGACCAGAAGAGGATGGTTCCGTTTTGAGTCTGGTTCCTTGCCACTATGACCACTGGCTCGCTCATTAGGATCTAGAGCTACAGCCATATTAATGTTAAGCTGCTTTGTGACAATGTCTATTGTTAAAAGCTCTACACAAATAAAATAGAATATAATTGAATTGAACCACACACATCTCCAGTGGCTTGTTGAAAAATGTGTGTCAAGGCAAAGGTTTCCCCTTCAGACAGGAAGGGGAAACACCATCAGAACCAGGTTCTTTTCTGGTCTTCAGACTTTATGCTTACTATTGAAAAGCATGTCTAACACTTTACACACACATATGATGAATCAATAAAAGTATTCATATTTCCCTTTGTCTGTTAATCCAAACCGAATTCGGAGATGAGATTTGAAATGATTCAATACCTAATTCTTATTGACAACTGGAACTGAGAAATGTGTTAGAATAGATTGAAATAGCAGTCTTCAGTTTAATCTGAAATCCTTTTTTGTGAGTTACTGCAGATGGTAACAGGTTTTTGAAATTTAAGGTCTTTGAGCTAACAATTTTAGTTTCTGAATGTAATGGTTCTAGCAACTATCCATGGTTCTTGACAACAAACCATCTCCAGACTTTCACAACCTATTGTCATGCTGGAACATGGTTGGGTTAGGCTCCACAGTTCCAGTGAGGGGAAATCTTAATTCTACCTCATACAAAGACATTCTAGACTATTGTGTGTTTCCAACTTTGTGGCAACAGTTTGGGGAAGAACCACATAGGGATGTGATGGTCAGATGTCCCCAAACTTTTGGCCATATAGTGTATGTTAACAGTTTGTGGTTGTTGATGTTTTTGTAGGTAATCTGTACAGACTATATAGACTATATAGACTTTTTTTGTTTGTTTGTTTTGTTTTGTTTTTTTCTTTTTTGTTTGGTTGTTTCACCTTATTTGGATTCTCTGGTTTATGGTTGTTGATGTTTAGAAGCTAATCCATACACTGTCAAGTCGATTCTTTTGTTTTCACTTTATATATATAGTCAGTATTATATATTGTGTGACTCAAACCATTTCACTAACATTATTTTTATTTTTAATCTTCTTAGAACCTGTCGAATACTTTCCTAAACATCATGAACATTATGCGACCTTTCTTAGCCATATTTACATGAAACCTCATTGCCTATCACAGCATGGCTTAGAATAGAGGTTGATAAGCATCGGTATAAGCATTAGCAAAAGCACTAACTCCAGGCTTGTTCACAAATAGCACAATTACATGTCTGTTTTGTCTCCATTTGCTGAATATTAATGAGAT